CATACAACGGAAACAATGGACAATTGTACATGGAATTTCGCCATGTGTCTGTAGGGGCAGACCCTCATTTCACATTTCATCAACGCTACTTCGCTCTCTCTCGGTGGTTATACAAGACGTCCTCCCCCTTGATCGTCAACATTCCGCTGTCGTAAAACCTCCTTCTCCCATAGCCTGATCCGAGACTCCAGAAATTGATGATATGCCCCACCCATCGTCGGCCGCGTATCCCGCACAGCTCGAGCCCCAATGTTGACTTCCTCTTGTCCATCCCGCTGCAAAAGACGCCAGCCGAGACCTGTTCAAGGTGCTGTCTCTGAAGAGATCGGCATTCGTAGCCCATTGCCTCGTCCCTTCACAACATCCCACCCAAGGTAAGGCTTTGAAGCAAAATGCCCCAGCGCCATGGAGTGGTAGGCACCGGTCGCCAGCCCACAATTGCGTCCATAAGACCAGAACCAGCAACCCCATATCCACAGTACATGCATGGCCTGTTCTGTCGACTCCGACGGGGCGACCCAGGAACAACGTCTTCCGCAACCCCAGGGACTAGACATCAGGTCCTTCCATATCCCTGCGCGCCGATCGATGTTGCTGTTTGTCAAAGCCGCATCTCCCATGACCGCCATATCTGACATCTCCCCGGGGCTGTGTCGTGGGTCCGGGTCGGGCGCGACGGCGGAGTTTCGTCGTGAGGCGTCGGCGGACTTCATCTGAGGTCCATGTCCTGCGCCTCAATAGTCTGTTCCGTGACCGAGGGCATGTCGGCCTTGATCCGATAAACCATTCGTCTGACTGATTTCCCCAGCTTGCGCGTGGCTCGGTATATGCGTCGGTTTCCCTTGTTTTGTGGCGCGCCACGTCCGCTGTCCTCCGCCCCTTGCCATGCCCATTTCGAGCTCCCGCGCAAAACAACACCATCGACCGTTATTCGATGAGCATCTTCTTTACGCCTCCGACTTCACAGAGACCGAGGTGCCGGATCGCTTCCTTTTCGCTCGCAAAGATGATGAGTCGCTCCTCGTCGAGATGCGGACTGTTGGGGTCGACGTGGGACGCATCCTTCGCTGCTTGCTCGATGGCATCCATTTCCTCCTTGCACGCTTGCTGGTCCATGGGACATATCACGATTGGTTGCCGGAGGGTGATGTCTCGGGCTGACGTCAATTGCGCCTGCTCCAGTTAGCATTCCAAACGGCAGACATGTAGGGGAGCCGCGCCCACCTTAATAGTCAAGAAGAACTCAATCTTGTAGAGCGTGGACGTTGTCGTGAAGCTCGTCACCTCGTAGAGGGGGAACCCCGGCTTCCCCCTTTTTATGATACCATCGGAATCTCGTAGGTCTCGTGCTGGGAAGACGAGCCCCAGATTTGTGACGTACCCCGCGTCGGGCATTTTCGTCCCTACCGGTTGCGTGTGCTTCGCAATCTTGTTGACCTTTTTGGTCGGCTCGTCTCCTTCGGGGTTGAATGTAATCTCCTCTTCGATGGCCAGTGTTATTTTCTGTATCGTCACTCGCTTGGCCTTGCTCATCCAGTCGGGGTTTGGCGCCAGCTTGATGTATACGGTTATGGGGTCTAATGGCCCGTAACTCCATTTCGGGAGCGAGATGCCCAGTGTTATGATGTTGTCCGCCGTCATGACCTTGCTCTCGGGGCGGTTGTACATGCCAAAGGTCGAGAGGGTGTCGTATCGCTGGAGTGGGATGGGAAAGGTGTATCGGTTCTGGGCGCTCTGTCCCTGTTGGACGGTGACAACGAGCTCGTAGTAGGTCTCGGCTGTTCTGCTGGGCAGTTGTAGGCTCGCTGGTGGGATTCGGCGATTCGTTTCCTCCCCGCCGCGTCCGAACGGTATGAATATTTGGAAGGGCAGGTCCATCGCAATCACGCTCTCGGCCTCCTTGCCCGACACGCACCGGAAGAGCAGCACCTCCTTTCCCACCAGGTCGACGGTTTCCCGCCTCGGGGTGCCGAGGTGACGTTTCGCGACATTCTCGGCGGCCGGGTGGATCGTTTCTCGTCGTTGCAGGCAGATGCGCACCATGGACACGCTCACGGGAGCGGAGTAGCCGGCGCCTGGTCGAATCTCGACTTTTCCTACAATTCGGGGCTGTGGGGATCGTATCGTCAGCGCACAAAATTCCGGCTTCATTTGAGAGTTGGTGCAGCGCCAACAGAGACAGGAAAAAGGCGACGCACCAGTGTCGCAGAGATGCCCGGGTAGCCCACCAGAAAGCTGCTGTTGGGCGGCCCGGAGATCCTCACGGTTGCGGGAGCATTGAGCGCTGAGAACGCGCTCATCCTGCCGACGACGCCCGAGTGGCCGAGTCGGTGTGGCTATCCGAGGCGTGCGGATCGGGTTGTCTTCGGGGTCGGGATCGTCGTCGTCGTTCTGGCGCTCCGGTCGTGAGCTGCCAGAGACGCCCAGCCGAACCGCGTCGCAGCGCAGAGTGGTGGTGTGGTGGGCGCGAAACTCGAATCGAGGTGAGGGGTATGTGATCGTCAACAAGGTCGTCCGCTGTATCGATGTGGGTCCCTGGAGGGGTGGGCGATGGCATGGAACTTCACATTGAAATTCGAGGTTGTCGCCGGCTCTCCACGGACTGGATGGGGTAAGTCCTCGATGGGAGATGCAGGACTCGCGGCGGGATGCGTGGGATGTGTGGATGCGTGGGAAAAGGGCCTGCACCAAGTCTGTCTGCCGGTGGATGGTCTCGGACTGGTCGATTGGGTTGTTGGTGAGACGGACCGCCCGTGACTGTGACTGGAGGTAGCAGGGGGAGGTTGAGAATTGGCCGACACTACGGACAGTCGGACCCGAAGCTGCAGCCTTGGGTCTTTCTTGGGGCTGCTGCTGCTGCTGCTGCTGCTGTCGCAGTAGAGGAGAGGAGGGGTGAATGCGATGGGACGAGGGGGCCAAATGCCAAATGGGAAGACCCGTAGAGCCGCCGTAGATGCTGCCTTGTTGACGTTGCCTTGATGTTCCCGGGCCGGTCCAATGCACTCGAGGCCGGGTTCGGGGTTTGCTGTTCTGGCCAGCTCCCGCCGTCCAGGGTTGCGGATGTAGGAAAATACGGCACCTGCGTCGCTTTCCCTTTGACAATGGTGGGTTATGGGCACCGAGCTCGGCTTGGATGGGCAGATCCCCGGTGGTCCATGCAGGATGCAGTGTGTTTGTCAGCTTGACCCTCTTTGTCTCGTCTTGGGTAAGGTTTATTTCCCCGGACACGGCCAGACTCCAGAGCAACGTCGACGGGAGTTGGACCTTTTCAGCGACGAGGTGAAGTCGAAGTGGAAGTGGAAGTGGAAGTCGAGTCCCAACAAACATCGGATTTCAACATGCAAGGTGAACCCCGGAAAAGAGAAAAGACAGCCCGCACAGTGGGTGGGTAACCCAAGCTCATCGACGTGTCTTGGAGTGGGTGACAAGCCAGGCACAGATCGATGGTGGGCTTCATGCTGACCATTCTGCTTGTGCTCTCGGACAAGAGCCAACGAGCATGCCCATCACCCATGAGCCATCATCCATCCGGATGGAGGCACGAGCCCGGCCAAGCCCACCCCGCATCCATCCTTCCACCACTTACAACTCGGCAGGAAGTTGTTGAAAATACAATGTACAATCCCGATCGCGGCCCTCCCTTCCTCCCTTCAGGATGGTAACCGGATATCTTTCTGGCAAGCCTCTGCCTGCATCATCAACACCCCAAGAAATTCATCGAGACGACCCCGAACCCTCACAAGGAATGCGACAACATGCAAAGTCCGATGAGATGGATGGCATTGTTGCATCTGGAGGGGGGGCAAAGCCATTTCAGGGGTGGAATTTGATGTCAGGTGGTCCTAGCTCCCCATAGGGCTGAAAGCGTCGCCCATGGATGCTCCACTGCAAACAGGCGCGACTTTACACGATCGCGTCGAATGTTTCCTAGCCGCCAACCTCGGCGTCGTCGCAAAAGAAACGTCCAACTTGCCCATCATGTCAGTAACTCTCCACACAACCCTCGGGGACCTCAAGATCGAAGTATTTTGTGAGAGCGTCCCCAAAACAGCAGAGGTACTTTCACCCCCTCCCCCCCTCCTAAACATAGCACCCCCCATCCTTCTCGGGGGCCGAGGGCGGCGCCCAACCAAACTAACCACCCACTCCCCCCACAGAACTTCCTCGCTCTCTGCGCCTCCGGTTACTACGACGCCTCCCCCTTCCATCGGCTCATCCCGGGCTTCATGGTGCAGACGGGCGCGCCCGCGCACCCCTCGCCGCCCGACAACCCCAAGGGCGGCCGGTCCATCTGGGGCGGCGTCTTCGACGACGAGATCCGCCCCGCCCTGCAACACCACGAGCGCGGCGTCGTCAGCATGGCCAACAAGGGGCCGGGCACCAACGGCAGCCAGTTCTTTGTGCTGCTCGACAAGGCGCCGCACCTTGACGGGCTCAACACGGTGTTTGGCAAACTGCTGGGCGACGACAGCCTCGCGACGCTGGCGGCGATTGAGGGGCTGGAGGTGGACAAGAAGAACCGGCCCAAGGAGGAGTGCAGGATTGAGAGGGTGACGGTGCATGCCAATCCTTTGGCGGGGTGAGGGGATTGTGAGAGGAAAGGGGGGAAGTCTCGAGGTAGAGAAATACCCCCCTTTCTTGGAGCAGAGACGAATCATCAAATTCGATGAGCGCCGATAGCACCGGCCGCGCCGCTTATATACCCCCCAGAAGGATGACAAGCGCAGTACGCCCGCCATCTGGACGTTGACGGACACACAAGGTACTTGGACAGCAAAGCAGTCCCGCCAAACAAGTCCACAGCTGCCTCTTCGAGCAACAAGCTAGATGCAGACAGGCGTCACGATTAATGACACAAAATACAAATACACGGGACACTTCCGAGACTTCCAAAGCCAACCGCGGTAGATCTCTTCCGCTGCCGCACACACATCGACGAACCCCAAGAGTAAAAAGATGCAAACCAAAAAATAGGAACAGCCAAAAAGACAAAAACAAGATGGACTATACCGGATTTGAACCGGTGACCGTTCACAGGCGCTGCGAACCACTTCAAGAGAAGAGGACGATGCGAAGCGAAAATCATACCCCTAGACCAATAGCCCGAATGAAATCTTGTTGATGTGCAGGATTATGGAATTTCCACTTTCCTTGGACAAGCCGGCAGTGGGTGCCAGGTGGGCTCTGAGTGAGTGCAGGTTGGGGACGAGTCACGCTGGTGGGGATGCAGTGGGCTTTGCAAAGGGCAGGAGCCGAGGTAGAAGCCGGATTTGGTAGTTTGTTTTGTTTGGCGAGGGGGGTCAGATGTTCTCAGGAAAAGAATGGGGGCTGTCGGCTGTTAGTGGTGGTATGAGGGGGTGAAGCATGTATTGAAGCCTGGAATATATACTGGATGAACTAAAAGTATGTGCGTTTGTGGACAGAAATCAGCTGAGCAACAACAGGCCAGAACATAATCGTTGAGATTGACCTTGCCCACATCCAAATCATCCTCCATCCCCACATCACACAGGGCCGCCTCAGCAACACCCATCACCAAGGCCGCCTCAGGAACCGCCCAATACCACGGCAGAGACCAAGTGCTCACTGCCACGAATCCCCCCTGGTACTTTCACAACCCCCCGCACCCCCCTCAACCGTAAACCCCCGATTCCCGCCCCCCTCCCACCTCACCTTCCCATCCGCTCCCACAGCAACATACTTGTACTCGACCTTCTCCCCGGTCGGCAGCACCACCGCCGTCTTCCACACCGGATACGCCCCCGCATCCAGGAGCACCCCCGCCTCCGGCCGCCACCCCCCGAGCGCCGGCGCGTTGCCCACCAGCCTCACCGATTCGCCCCACATCGTCGTCACCCGCGCCTCAAACGTCACCAGCACGTCCGCGCACGGTTTCTGCGGGTCAGGCCCCGGGAACCCAGTCGGCTGCGGCCCCGGCGTCCCGGGCGTCTGCGACGGGGGGAACACGGTGTTGGTCGCGCGCGCGTACGTCCCTGCTACGGCGTACCCGCTGCACTGTCCGCCAGAGGGGAGCGGCGGGGAGGCGGCGCCCCATGTGGGCGGAACGCGACCGGCACGGCGGGCTGCGGCGGTGAGGAAGGCCGAGTACGACCAGGTTAGGTCGGGCGCGGCGAGGGGACGGCCGGAGTTGCGGTCGAATTGCTCGGGCAGGGAGCCGTTGGGGTGTGCGCGGGACTCGACGATGGCGAAGAACCCGTCCGCGTAGGTGCGCACGGCGTTGAGGAGGGGGGTGAATTGCGGGGAGGAGGTGGTGTGGGTGCCGGTTGTGGCAGAGGGGAGGAGGGCTCGGAAGAAGGGGAGGGAGAGGGGTGTGATGGTTAGGGAGGACTGGGTGGTCCAGGTGTGGAGGGCGGCGTAGAGCTGCTCGGCGGCGGCGAGGGTCGTCAGATACCACGGGTTGCCGTTGTAGTAGACGTCTTCGGAGTAGCGGCCGATGGCGACGGCGGCGTTTGAGGGGATACCGTTGTTGACGGTGTAGATGGAACGGAAGGAATCGACGACGGCCTTGTGGTTGGCGAGGGCGCGGTCGCTGCAGGGCTGAAAGGTGAGGGACTCGCAGCCGGCCAAGGGGTCGAAATTGTGGATGGACGCGAGGATAGAGTTGGCATCACGGCCATTGCGGTAGCTGCCTCCGTTGACTTGGGCTGTTAGATTTGAAGGAACTGCCCACAGGGGGTAGAAGGCTTACTGTTGGAGACAACGTAGTTCTGATTGGAGTTCCAGAAGCGCTGGGCGAAGCAGAGAACCTGGGGCGCCACGGACGAGCATGCCGGGCAGGATGTGCCGAGGCTGAGGGCGAGGGCCGCTCCTTCAACCAAGGCTGCGGCAAGGTTAGGTTTGTGTCCCTGGACCAAGGGGAGGGAGCCTTACCGCGATGAGTGGCGACAATGGTAAAGAAAGAGCTGCCCTGAACCTCCTCCCAAAGATCAAAGCCCGTCTGGTTCCAGTATTGGGCGCTGTAAGAGAGATCATTCTTGATGACAGGCCAGACAACAGTCTGGGCGGTTGTGGTGTATCCGTTGGCAAGCAGCCATTTCGCGTATCCCATCAGGGCAATTGCACGCAGAGGAGGGCCATCTCTCTGCGGACGACCCCAGTCACCGGTGAACTGCGTCAAGTCGACCATATATTTGGCCTCACCGAGACCAAGACCGTTGGAGAGACCACCGGATGGGTTGGACACGGCCTGTAGCTTGGCCTGGGAGATGACATAGTTTTGGATCTGCGTCTGGAGAGCCGGGTCGTACTTTTCCGCAAAAGCATCGACGATGCCCTTGAAGACTAGGGCGCTATCACGCGTCCATGTATACCAATCTGTCTTCAGTCAATGGCTGTCAAAGGTTAGGTGCATGATTTTGACATACAGTCTGGGTCTCTCTTGGACGGACTGGCGACGACAACGCCAGGGGCAGCACCCGAGGCAGCACAGCCAGTCGAGCCAATGTTGCAAAGAAGACGCTTCCACGAATAGGGGGTCTGCTTCTCGATGAAGGAGTCGACAGACCGCTTGAGGATGGCAGACTCGCGTCTGATGCGAGCATCCTCGGGGCGCCCAAAGACAGATTGAACAGCGACGGCTCCGAGGAGCAGGATCGACGAGAAGGCGTGCATGGCGGGTTGGAACAGTCCGGCACTGGATGAGGTGAGGTTCACTGAATGCAGTTGTGGATCGAAAAGACCGTTGACAACGAGGCCGGCCATGGTGTATTTGTAGTCGTGACGTCCGACGTCACGACCCGCTGGCAGCAAGCCCTTCAACGAGAATAGCAATGGTACGGCGTCAAGGCAACAGGCGAGCTCGGGGGGCACCGGCGGATCACGGCGGGATGCTGAGTATGATTGTCTCTGCGAAGGGCCGAGTCGGACGTGGAGGTTGGTGTGATTCGGTGTTTCTCAGCATGGCTGTGGTATCATCAGCCTCTGAATCCCCGCATTACATATGTTGTCGCCGTGCTGTGTCTTACAAGACTTCAGGGTGTCGGATGTCGGATGTCGATGTTGATGTCGCCAAGGGGGAGGGCGTGAGGGCGCAGCCGAGAGGGAAGAAGCACCGATGTCTTGCCGCTGCAGGAACATGGCCCTGGACTGGAAGAAGGCAAGCCGACGACGTCACAGCGGCTCCAGTCTCGGGCAGGGCGCGGAGCCTGATGGTTGATCCCAGACTCCCAGTGGCGTCTTTGATTCCAGTGTTGTGGGGAAGAAGTGCAACTTTCACGAGAGAGAACACGGTGCGGGGAAGTCAACACACCCTCAACGCCCTCACCGGGAGCATCACGGGTCTTGACTCTTGAGGCCAAACTTTTGGGCCGGTCAGTCTTGATGCTAAACATTACCTCACTCCTATTCTTGAAATTGGTTTCAGAATTATTCGTCCCTTCCAAATGCGCGGTGTTGAAGGTGACCTTCCAAGCCCGGTCATGACAGGAGCGCTGCCTCCGCCTCCGGCCGGCCTTGACGACCTCCCACCTCCCACCCGGCGCAAACAAGCCTCCATCGATTCGGTCCGTCCAGCGTCTCGGTCGGCCTGCATGACGGTCACTCTCGGCCCCGCATTGTATCTCCCCACACGCCGGCAGTCGGATGTTTCCTGAAGGGCTTCGGCGATTTCGCCGCTATGACGAGAAGGGAAACCGTCGCCGACGAGAATCACTTCGACGGACCCAATGCAACTCGTATCACATGCTTTCCAAAAGCCCAGTGATAGAAATCCAAAATTGAGAACCAGAATGCGCAACAAACTCCATCAAACGCAGGTCCTTTCTCATCAGCCAGCCATCCAATATCGCAGGTGGGGTCGTCGAAGGGCGCCAAAGACCCGTTCTCTGCACCACAATTTGAACTAGCATCGGCCCGTCTTTAGGATGAGGCTATCACGAGGCAGAGTCGCGAAAACCGTGGAGTGGATGACGGCGGATCCTCATGACGCGTGATGGAGCGGGACGCGAAAAGTGCTGCACTCGTCGTTCAAACAAACGACAGCGGACATTCACAAATGATGATTGAAAACAGAAATGTGGTGGGTCATGGTTTCCCCCAGCCTCATAGATCGACGATCTCGGCGAACGGCTTGGAATATGACTACCCGTAAAATCTGCTTCACCACCGCTCAAGCCTTTGACAGCGAACGGGGCTCCCCAGAATTCGGTTGCTCTGGAACCTGTCGGCAGGAAATTGACATCATGGTGAACAAGATGGCTCCTTGGTTGCCGAACTGCCTCAGCCATCGACCCTCACCACCGGAGCGGAAGGGGACGGCTGGGCACAGGTCCGTGGAGAGAAAAGAAGAGAAGGGGAAGAGGGACGCTGAGGTGGCCGAGATTTTATAGCAGATCTTTTTCGGTGGGGCCTGGGCCCTGTGGGTCCACTTGGTCTCTTATCTTATCGGACCTGGACCTGGACCAGTGGACCAAGGGCCGGACTCCAGGGATGTCTCGCGCTAACAAATAAACGGGTGCTGGAAAGGTCAGCCCCAAGCTATTCGACTGCCTGCCGTCACGTCACTCTTCTCTTCTGACAACGACACATCCACCAACAACCCGCAGCCATGGACGCCGCATCCATCGAAGAGATCAACAAGCTCCGGAAGGCGATGGGCATGAAGCCCTTGCCGGTTCCCGGGGCTGCCCCCCAGAAGGAACCGACGCCGGACCCCGACGCCGGCAGCACGATCGAATCGCGCGAAGCTGAAGGCTACGACAACTTCAAGAAAGTCCAGGCCACCGAAGCCGCCAAGCGGAAGCGCGAAGAACAAAAGCGGGCCGTGATGAAGGCGCGTGAGCTGCATCAGCGCAACGCCATCCTCGAAGGCAAGGGCATCGCCGATCTGGTCGACGACGACGAGCTCGACGCCAAAACGTGGCTCAAAACGCAAAAGAAGCGTCAAAAGAAGATCGAGGCCGCCAAAAAGGCCGAGGAGGAGGAGGAGAAGGCTGCTGCGGAAAAGGCGGCCGCCCATACTGCTGCCGACTTGGCCGGCGTCAAGGTTGCGCACGACGCCGCTGAATTCCTGGACGCCGACAACCAGATCTTGACCCTCAAAGATACCGGGGTGCTGGACGAAGACGAGGAGGGCGATGCGCTAGAG